TGTCCATCACATCATTCTCCTAATGATGTGATCCCGTTATCAACGACATCCAATGTCCATAGCCAGGAAACCATGACTATCTGTTGATCACAACGAGCTAGTCAACTAGAGGCTCACTAGGGACATATTGTGGTCTATGTATTCACACGTGTATTACGATTTCCGGATAATACAGTTATAGCATGAATAAAAGACTATTATCATGAACGAAGAAATATAATAATAACACTTTTATTATTGCCTCTAGGGCATATTTCCAACACAAGTAGCTACACTACATATGTATGCATTGGTATCAAATGGAGTAAGGTTATCATATGTGGACTTAACTGCAGAATGCTGGAATAAGAGGGGGATAGCTAGTCCTGTCGAAGACTAAGCTTCTGGTAACCTCCATCTTGCAGGATGTAGAAGAGAGTAGACTGAAGTCCTCCAAGTAGCATCGCATAGCATAATCCTACCCGGCAATCCTCTCCTCGTCGCCCTGTTAGAGAGCGATCACCGGTTGCATCTGGCACTTGTAAGGGTGTGTTTTATTAAGTATCCGGTTCTAGTTGTCATAAGGTCAAGGTACAACTCCAAGTCGTCATGTTACCGAAGATCACGGCTATTCGAATAGATTAACTTCCCTGCAGGGGTGCACCACATAACCCAACACGCTCGATCCCATTTGGCCGGACACACTTTCCTGGGTCATGCCCGGCCTCGGAAAATCAACACGTCGCAGCCCTACCTAGGTACAACAGAGAGGTCAGCACGCCGGTCTAAAATCCTATGGCGCAGGGGTCTAGGCCCATCACCCATTGCACACCTGCACGTTGCGTACGCGGCTGGTGAGCAGACCTAGCAACCTCCATTACAAAGGAAGTTGCGTTACGCGGTCCAACCCGGCGCGTGCCGCTCAGTCGCTGACGTCACGAAGGCTTCGGCTGATACCAAGACGTCGAGTGCCCATAACTGTCCCCGCGTAGATGGTTAGTGCGTATAGGCCAGTAGCCAGACTCAGATCAAATATCAAGATCTCGTTAAACGTGTTAAGTATCTGCAAACGCCGATCAGGGCCAGGCCCACCTCTCTCCTAGGTGGTCTCAACCTGCCCTGTCGCTCCGCCACAAAGTAGCAGTCAGGGACCGTCGGGAACCCAGGCCCACCTCTACCGGGATGGAGCCACCTGCCCCTTCAGCCCCCATCTCCGTACAGTATCATCAGTAATGTAATAGTATAAAGTATATAGCATATGCCCGTGATCACCTCCCGAAGTGATCACGGCCTAGTAGTAGAGCATGACAGACGGACAAGAGTGTAAGGCCACTGATGGAACACTAGCATCCTATACTAAGCATTTAGGATTGCAGGTAAGGTATCAACAGTTGTAGCAGCAATGACAAGCTATGCATCAGAATAGGATTAACGGAAAGCAGTAACATGCTACACTACTCTAATGCAAGCAGTATAGAGGAGAGTAGGCGATAACTGGTGATCAAGGGGGGGGGGGCTTGCCTGGTTGCTCTGGCAAGAAGGACGGGTCGTCAACACCGTTGTCGAACTGGGGGGTCGCCGGCAGTCTCGGGGTCTGCCGGAAAGAAGTAACGGAGGGGGAACACAATAAATAACAAAGCAATCAAAACAACACAAGGCATAACGTAGCAATACGCGGTGCTAGGTGTGCCCTAACGCAGTACTAGGTGATACCGGGAAAGGGGGGAAACATCCGGGAAAGGATTCCCGGTGTTTAGTATTTTCGGACAAATGTACCAGAGGGGGAAAGTTGCGTGTTCGCTATGCTAGGGATGCGTGGCGGACGAACGGCCTGCGTAACCGGATTCGTCTCGCCGTTTTGAGCAACTTTCATCTACAAAGTTTTTCCATCTGATCTACGGATTATTTTATATTAATTTTCAAAATTTTAAATGATTTTCTAATTTCTGGATTTAGTTTAATTCAAAATTAAGTTAGTATTTAAATGCTATAGGTACACAGGAAGTGTACCCAGAAGTGTGCACTTGAGGCTGACATGGGGGGACAATTGACTAAGTCAACTGCCCAGTCTGCACCTAGTCAGCAGAGGCTGACAGTGACAGGTGGGGCAGGGGGATGCTGACTCAGCAGTCAATAGGTCAACATTGACCAGTCAAACTGGCAGGTGGGGACCACCTATCAGTGACACATGTATTTAACATGTATTTACTTTAAAATTTATATAATTAGTTGGCAGGGGCCACATGTCATCCTTTAGTTTATTAATAGGTTAGTTTTTAAAGCGGGTTTAGTTTAGCGGGTGGGCCCCCGGCGTCACTGAATATTTATGCGAGGTTAGTGACTAATGACAACCACGTCACCGGATTAGCGCCGGCGACGAGCTACAGAACGGCAGCGGCATAGGATCTCGCCGGAAACGGCGTACGAGGAGTCGTTCGTAGCGCGGATCGGTCCATTCGATCACCTACGCGACGGCACATCGCATAGTGGTGGTGGCACAGCCGGGGTGGTCCGTGTCGAGCGATACGACGGCGGCCGATGGCAACAGAAGGTGGGCGAGACGGGAAGCAGCGGGCCAGGGCGCGCGCGTCCGCGAGGCCCGGCGTGGCTGAGTGCGTGCACGCGCGTGGTCCAGGGACGGGTAAGTGCGGCTCGGCAGTGGTGACCGGGCGAAGAAAGGGGGCGGGTCGAGAGGGTTCCTCACCCACGCAGCAGGGGAACGGGCGGCGTGGCTCGAAGAAGCGGCACGAGGAGGGGACGAGGATGCCGCTGTCCGATGGGGAGGCGGTGCCGGCGAGGTAGCGGGCGAACTCGTGGTGGCGGCGTCGAGCGGCAACGGGGTGGGGGCGCCGAGCGTTGGGCGCCTGGTCGGGAGGAGGCGAGGACGGGGTGGCGGCGCCGTTCTCGGGGGAAGCGGTGAGCAGCGGGGCAGTGGACACGGGCGGCGTGAGTGGTTCCCTGCGAGCCGGCACGGCCAACGCGGGCCGGGAGCGCGACCATGTGGTGAGGTAGGGCGCTGACGACGTGGCCCGAGGCGAGGGCGTGTGCGGGAGGGGGGTTTAGGGGAGGCGAGCGACGGGTCGAGGTGGCAGGAGGGGCGACGGGGCGGCTCCGGTGAGCCGCCGAGG